ATACATCCAGCTGCAAAAGATGTTAATGATCATGAAATATTTTTGCTGAAAGATCAGATTGATTAGTGCTGAATTGAGGTTTTTGACTTTGTGTACCAGCAGTGGAATGGAATTAAAACAGGATAAAAAGCTGCTTAATTCACCACAGTTTAGAGGCAGAATTAATATGTGCCCTGTAGGCTTGGCACAGTGTCATCAGGGAATCAGAAGCAGCAGAAAATGTGGAGATAGAAGCTGGTGGGGGAGAAAAAAATGGTGAAACCCAAGATTTGGTCAGCTGGATTTAAGCTCTTTGCTCAGTATGTTCTCTGAGTGGATTAAATGATTTATGGTACTCACTGCTTATGTCCTGTAGTCATCTGCAGCTTTCATTTGACTACAGAAATGCAAGTACATTGTTACATTGCAGTTGGCTGTTGTCAGATATCCATTAAATTAAATACCCTGCCTGTACATTGGCTGCTAAGGTAGAAAAGGTCAAAGAAAGCTTGCATTTTTATTCATACTTTGCGAATACTGCCTTTTTTTCCCTCCTCTTCTGAAATCTCTGGTTACTTTGAGAAAAGTTTCAAAACTGAAAGGTGAAGTAAAGTTGCCTTCTGAATTACAGTCAGCAATGCTCCTGTGCATTTCTCAGATTTCACTGGATTTCTTTCTCAGGCTTTCAGAGGCAGCTGCCATTCTCCACTTCTGAAAGAGAATGGAAGTCTGTCTGAAGTGTTTCTGATTCTCTCTCCATGAAGTGCCCAGTGCATTCCCTATAGGTTTCATGCCTTGAAATTGAAACCTTGGCTTGATGTTGAAAACATGAGGTCTGTGGTGAAGATACAATTATTAGCTAAGGTTATGCTTTCAGGTAAAGATTTAGCACTGCTTGATACATAACTTTAATAGGGGTTCTTGTCAGGGTGTACTGTTTGGGATCTGTTTATACAACTTCGCTGGAAATTGTCTTCACTCTCCAGTCAGTCCTTGTGACTTGGAAGGTAAATGGGAAGTTTGTAAAGAAGAAAGATTACATCAGTTCTTTGTTACATTCTCCTCAAAAGCAGTGGGTTTGTGACCTACAGAGGTACCAAATAGCAGCTTGCTGCTGGGGAGGTGGATGGTGTTGCTGTTTGATGGGCACAGGGCTAAAATTAATTTACTGAAACATTCATAAATACCATCAAATCCAAATGTATGGGTTATTGATAACTACTTATGCCAACATTAAATCTCCCAGAAATATTTCTGGTACTTTTGTTCTGAAGCAAAGCACTGGTGGCACTTTGTCACTGTGGATCAATGCAAATCACTGCTCTGTCTGGCAGAGAGGTAGGATTTTATTGCAAGCACTGACATTTTTTCTAAAGGGCTGTTGCAGGCAATGACAGAACACTTGTCACAACTATAAAACACTTCTATGTGTACACAGAGATGAGTTAAACTGCATCTATAGATCAGGGTTTTACAGCTTCATATATGGTAGAAAGATTAGTATTGTGAATCAGATCTGAGATCTCTCATAAAAGTTTGAGAGAAACAGCTATTTATAGATGTGGCTGCAGAGTGTCTGAAGCAGAGCTATCTTATTTTCCCATTCCAAAGCTTTAAATATTTAAAAAATGTACATAAAATATGAAAGTAAGATTTTGTATACCCACTTTTGTCAAAGCTTTAAAAAAATAATTGCTTTGTCTGTCTTCTGGGTTTGTTTTTTTGTTTAGGCTTTTTTTTTTTTTAATTTTAATCTAACCATTACATTTACAGTTCAGGAACTTTGCTTTGGGTTTAGAAGTCAAGCGAAATTTAATGTTTAAAAGCCGCTGCAAGTTTTTTACATTAATTTTCAAAAATCTCTTGGGTTTTGTGGTAGCAATGTGTCTAGTTACATGGAGACTGATGTCTACTGAATTTTTCCACAGGTGAGTGAGAATAAAGATTTCTAGAGAAATTGAGCAGTTCAAGATATGGGAAATCCATTTCTGTCACTGAATTAAGGTCTGACCGAGTGCAAGGTGCATAATGATGTGTCTTCTCTTCTTAGCAAACTAATTTGGTGATAGAAACCATCCTGGACATTTTCCAATCTCTTGTAACACAGCTTTCTGTCTTCTCCACAGTTGTTTTTTGCAAACACAGGCTGTTCAACAGCATTGACGACTGAATGTGCTGGTGCTGTTTGTGGCTGCTTGTGGCTTTGGGCAAGCAGGGAACGATGTTTCTGGCTCAGGAAATTGGCACACACGTCGATTGAAGTCCTGTGTCTGTCCCAGCCTGGTCTCTGATTCTGATGAGCTGTGTAATGAACCAGAGAGGCTCTAATGATGTGATGTTCTGCTAGTTCTGAACTGTAAATGGCAGCCTGGTGCTTTAGCTGTGCAAGGCTGATTCTTAATGAAATTGGCCCCTGCAGTATCTCAGGCAAACAAAGCTGTAACTTTTTAATGACTTCTTGGAGACAGGTCATGGTTTTATAATTATTTCTATCTCTGAATATACAGGAGTGTCATTCCATTTTGGTCCCAAAGGATTTTACCTTGTTTTCTCCCAGAAACTGCTTAACAGTTGGGACTGCCATGTCCTTGGTGTTTATTTTAGTCATCACAGACATAAATGCTTTTTACCCTTATTATTTCTATGCTGTATTACTACCAGTAAGATCATTTGCAGCATTTCAGCTGATACTTAACTAATGATGGGATGCACAGTCTGACCTACTTTTCTGTGCACTACCACAGTGAATGTAACCCCTTGGAAGAGAAATGAGAAAACTGCCAGAAATAGTGGTATAAGTGTTTCACAGAAGGTTATATGATCAAATACTATTGAATAGTAAAGCTGTATCACTGAATCTAATGGAAAATATAAAATGGTTTAAATATGTATATTATGTGCTATTCAGAAGGTGGAGAAAATAGCAAACATTTACTTCATCAAATCCAAAATTAGAGTGTGTTTTTCATATTAGAAAATTATTTTCCATGCACTTAAATAGTGTGATTTTAGAATTATAAACATCTTGTGGTTACCCTAAGAAGTCTTTATATCATGGTCATTCTACAAATAGAGAAAGTTAATGTTTTTTATAGGTAATTTAAGAGAGAGTTTGATCTGTAAGAGCAGGGTTATTTTCCTGCTGGTCAATACTGCCACATTTGTTGGGAAAGAAAAAACCCAAACAAAAGTACCCCCCCAAAAACCCCCAAACCCAACCAAACCAACCAAAAGCACCCGTCATTTCCTCCCTGGTGCTGTGGTATTGAAGATGCTTCTCCATTACATTCCCACACATTATACCTCCTTCAGGGAGCCTTCCTGAAAGGTGATTTAAAAAGGCATGAGCAGAAGTAGTACTTTATTTCGTACAGCTTACTGGCTACCTTGCACAGTTCCTCTGTGTCACCATCTCAGGGATGTGCTGCTTGTTAGGCAGCACAGCGAGTCTCCTTGTAAACACCAGCTGCAGTAACTGGAGAAAAAAGATGGTAAAATTGAAGGTACTGGCATCTCTTTTCAGCCTTGCCTGTTCTACTGCAGTCTCTTACAGTGATTGCAACTCCTGGGTGTGTGAAATAACTGAGGTATACTCAGATGGTAAAAGCTTAAAATGGCTAGCTGAAAAGACAGTCCTCTGAGCAGGTACAGACTCTGAGGAATGTATTTCCTTCTGGAGGTAGACAGAAATTTTGAAAAACTATAGGCTTGCAGTCTGACAGAAATTATTAAATTTGGATTTATTATTCATAATGGTCCTTTACTTACAGATGTGGAAAATTTAAAAGACTCAAACACATTATTAAATACATTTTATCCAAAGTTAAGGGGTGGAAAAAAGATGACAGCTGCTTTTGCAGTAATGTTTTATGCCATTCTCTTGTAAGGGGAGAAAAATACCACAAAATACTGTGCAGGTTGGTTAGGCAGGTTTTATTTTGAAACTGGTGATTCTGCAATTTTTGCTTGGCTGTGGCTTTTTAATTAGCAGAGAGTAGTTATTCCAAGAAGAATGGCAAAATTTCTGCACACTGCTGGGCATACCAAGTGGAGAAAGAAAATCAGAATTTGTGTAGTGGCTAATTTGTCCTAATCTGAGAGTTCCAGCACTTTCAAATTACACATCAGCTCTAAAAATGCCTTTTGTTTTGTAAACAGTAATCTGGTGGATGACTGCTCCTCAGAGTCAAATGTGTATACATGTTCCCCCAGCTTTTCTCTAGCAGTTGTCTATATGGATATGTAGTTTACCAAGTTCTAGAGATTCCAGAAAACTGAGGGCAGAATAGACTTTACGGTGACTTATGCAGCTTCTGTGGTGTCTTTCTGTTTTTTTGTGAAGAGCTTTATAAATGTGGTTACTTAGTATTCTTCCTCAGATAAGGTATATGCCCATTTTGGTAGAGCTATAGTCAAATCTCCATTTTAATAGACCTATCTTATAATTACAGAGTTGTGGAATAATTCATGTTTGAGAGGACCTCAGCTCATCTAGGTTAACCTAATCAAAGCATTTTTAGGCTGTTCAGGGTTTCATCTGTTTGAGTCTTGAAAAACTTTAGAGATGGAGGCTGTGCAACATGTCTGGACAGCTTCCTCCGCTGGTGGACTGTTCTCAAGGTGGAAAAGTTTTTCCTTGTATCAAATCTGATCCTTCCATTTTAACTTGCATCTACTGGCTCTTGTCCTGCCACCCTGTGCCAGTATGAAGAGCTCAGCTCCACCTTCTCAATCCCTCCCTGGAGGTCCTATTAAGCCCTCCCAAAACTGTGTCTTCTCCAGGCTGAACAAGCCCTGGCTGTGCAGCCTCTGTTTAGAGGATGAATGATGTGGTCCCTGTCAGCTTGGTCGCTTTCCCTTGGACTTGTCGTTGTACTGGGGGGCCCCACAAGGTTCTGGATGTGGTCTAGTGAGTGATGTGTAGAGGGGGGTAGTTCCTTCCCTTTACTGATCAGCTGTCCCCTGCTATTGCAGCCCACGTGGCCCTCTCTGCTGCCAAGGTACTGCCCACCAGCACCCCCATGGCCTCTTCCGCAGAGCTGCTCCAGCTCAGCAGTCCCTTGCGAGGGCTCGTTCCTTTACAGGTGCAGGACTTTGCCTTTACCCTTGCTGAATTTCATAAAGGCTCCGTTGGGCCATTCCTCCCATCTGTCTGGGTCCCTCTGGACAGCAGTCCTGTACACAGGAATACTAACTGGTGTACCCAGGGTGGTGTCATCTGCAAACTTGAGAAGTGTTCACTCTTCCAGAGCATTAACTAAGGTGTTGAGCAGCATTGGTCCCGTGGTCCATCTTTGCGATGTGCTGGGTGTATTTAAGTAGTGACTTTCAGTCTATGAACAAGCCTAAGTTTGATACATCAGTCAGATGGCATGGCTGCTTGGACTTTGAGTAGTAGCTGCCTTGTGCCTTGAAGACCAGCCTTGTGCAGCCATTTTTATTAGGAAAACAAGAGTGGATGAGAGATCCACATAGCTACTGTCCTCTTGCTTGCAGTTGGAGGTGCCAATATATTACAGTTTGTAGACTGCTTAAGTGGTGGAGTGGTGGGTGGAAAGAGGTTTTGGTCACTTGGGAGTTTCTGGTCTCTCTGAGATACCTGTTGTGGAATGGTTACTGCTTTTATACAATGTGCCCAACAGAGGAAAATGCAGCGACTGATGTGTGATACCTGTGTACTCCACTCCATGCCTGACATACCTGTGCCTTTCTCTCTTACTCTCCCCAAATCTTGTAATCTATGGCAATTTCTTAAAGAAAATGCAGCTTTTGTCTACTTTCAATTGTTATGCTTTGGAGATTTAAAGTATCACCAAGTATAGCTGGCCAAAGCAGTTCTGAAGTCTGATACCTCTGCTTCAAGAACAGAACATAAATGAACAGTGAAACAGGTACAACCACAATAAAAAAAATAACTGCTCTTCAGAGACAGCTTTTGGATTAAGCTTTGACAGCTTCAGATAGACAGAGGTGCTGGTTCTCAGGAAATGAGCCTGGGACTAGTAGCCAAAAACCTTTATAAGTAATTGGTGTTGTATACCTATTCTTGTGATGAATGTACACAGCACAAAAAAAATGATAGTGTGTAACCTTGAAAGTGTATTGTTTGACGATTACTCTTCCCTCTTTGGTTGGAGAAAAAGTTTAAATATTCAGTTACATCATTTGCTATTTAACCATCATTTTTACTGTTTCATTTTTTTCTCTTCTTTCAGTGACAATGACAAATATTGGAGAAAAAGGTAAGATTTTTATTAGCTGTTTAAAAGTGGAATTCATATATCAGGATAGAATAGTAGTTTACTAGTAGAATTGAGATACAAATCTAACCTGTTTTAAATAAGTATATTTTTTGTGTTCCTCAGCTCCTTTTATTCTGCTGTTCTTGAATATTGGCTTTAGCCACTACAAATAGAGATGAGAAAAGTTAGAAATTTTTACTCTTCTTATGGGCTTTCTGATGTGTCAACTAAAATAATCCTTATATTCTGTTAAAAAAAAAATTTACTCATAATGAGGAAAGCTCTTGTAAAAGCAGAGCTTCTAGAGTTGAGTAGGGTTTGTGCAGATGCAATATATTTGAATAGGAGGTGAATTTTTTCTGCAGTTTCTTTTTAACCAGTATCTTTAAAGAATCAAAATCCTTCAGATACGTAACCTTTTCAGAATATAATAAAACTGCCTGATTAGCAGTCATTACAGTTCTTACCCAGAGGCTGTAGCATGTTTAGATTGCTTTTCCAGATGCTTGTTAATTCTACAGCACAGCATGGAAGTGTGAAGTGTGGGGCTGCAGTGCTTTTGGAGGAAGAGGTTGGGAGTTAGGAGACAAACTGTATGCATTTTGTGTTTGTGTAATTCCACACAAGTCATTGGCAACTCCCTCACTTAGAAAAAGTGTTTGTCAATTAAGAAACTTAGTTCAGTGATCTATCCCTCATATTAGTGCCTGTGTGTCTGTCTGCCAACTTCAGCATCTGCAGACTTTGAAGAGCTTCCAGTTTCTTGCTGTGTGGGAGTGGACACAAGTGTTTTGTTAGGCATTGCTCACAAAACACATTAAAATTAACAGCAAAATGCATGGGGGAACATTAAATGTCCTCATATTCACTCAAAGCCTTGGTCAGCTTCAGCCAGTCAGGAGAAATTTATCCTGGCTGTACTTCTGCCATATTTCTGCCCTAAGTGTTTTTAGGGGTGAAAACTGGGCAAATGGGGCTCAGCCCTACTACAGGTTGCCTCAGTCTTCCAGGCAACTCTAGTTATGCTAGCTGTTTGTAAATGGATTGCCTTCAAGCAAGGGATACACCATTTGGGTTGGTTTTTTTACTTCAGAAAAAGTGCCAAATTGAAGGATTTCTGCCCAGGCAGCTGCAGACAGCTGCTCTTTAACTGTGTCAAGGGAAATGAGGTTCTCACGTTGAACTCTCAACACTCACAGACCCAGTGGAGCAGCTGGGTAGCCCAGGGTCTCCATCACGGTGCAGGGAAACTGGTGGGTAGATAACCTGAGAGGAGAGACCAGTTAGGATATGGGCCATGTTGAAGAACTGAAGTGCAAGAGCAAACAAGATGAGCTCAAGTCTTGTGCACACTTTAAAGGGGAAATTTGGGATAATGTCTTTAGGCTAAACTTTTGTCTTCTTCCACTAGCCTTTCTTCTTTCTAATACCTGAACAAAAACAATTTTCTTGTCAATCACAGTTGCCATTTTTCTTATATGTCATGGTTTAATAAAATACTGATGCAGATTAGTAAATGCATCATGTACAGAACTGATGTAACTTGCCCTACTTTGCTCTCACTATATGCTGTGCATATACTGTCGTATAAAAAATGCTGATTTTGAGTAAATGAGGGGGGTTTTGAGTTAATAAAAATGTTCAGATAAAAATGTGGACTGTTCCTGCCCAGATGCCTGTGCAATAATAAGATTATCATTTAGTGTATTCTGCTTTGTGTGGAGTCCAGTTCTATCACCAACTTATGCTGGTGAGATTTTTCTTTCAGTTCATAGACATGGCATGTGGCTCTGCCCCGTCACTCCAAAAGCTTTGTACAAAGTTGCTCCTCATATTTTGTTAGCTTTTGTTTATTATTTTTAACTGCTTAGTGAATAAGGGTAAATATTTACAAAAGTTTGCTTTTTTTGTGTAAACAAACTTCAATACTGGAAACATTTATTCAGTGTTACTTTTGAGAGAAAAGTACAAAAAGTAAGAACATGCTGGGCAACTGTTCCTGCATCTATACACACCATCGTGCATGTGTTAAAGAAAATTGTCTAGCACTGAATAGTATTATATATAAAAAATATGAGATAATCATAGAAGGGCAATATTTCAGATTGTGCAGTGAAAGCACACAGATTTTCTTTTATGATTTTTTTGACAATTTTATGAATTTATAGAAGTTGTATAAGACAGTTTGACTATGTAGCTTCCATATAGCCTTGAGCTCTGTATGTGCAGCATAGAATTCATCTGTACAGCAGAAATATAATATTTTTCACTGTTGCCATCTGTTGCCACTGTTCATTATTTGCTGCTTTGCTCAAGGAAGAAAAATCCAAAGAAATACTCTTTCCTGTCATTACAGTAAGTTAATCAGGGTATACAAGTTTTGGATTTCCTATTTAGTAAATTGTGTAGTACAGTGAGAGCTTTTAAATGGAAATACCTATGCATACATGGCAGGCTCTTTGGAAAAGTTAATGCTGCCTTCTGTATTCTAGTAAAAAAGTCAGCATGGTAAATGTCAACTGGCATGTATTTAAAAATGTAAGAAAAATCACTAGCTGTGAAGAATATAAAGCAGTGAATGAACATTCAGATTTAAAGGACCTGCAGATTTTTACAAACGACCTAACTCTTTGCCCTCCTAAAATCTAGCGAAACAAATTAACTGGTTATGGTTATTGCTCAGGTATCATTTGCATATCCACCCCAAGACTCCCCCCACTCTTATAGTTGTTTAGATAGCTATGCTTCCCTTTGGGGGGGCAGGGTGTGGGTTTTTATTTGGGGATTTTTTGTTGGGTTTTTTTGCATGGCTAGCAGTCTCCCAACATGGTTGATAAAGCAGACATGCATCAGTTAATTAGGATTTTACAAATGTGTAAAGGGTGAGTGCTTGCTAAATCATTATGGGGATTTAATAGGCTATGAACCATTTCCCTCAAACTTTTGTAATATATGTAGCCTGTATCATGACTTTCCCCACACAGTCTGTATTTGTCTCATGTAAAGTTGCAGTGCAGTATTTTTGTTGCAAAGCTTTTGCAGAGCCTCTGTATTTACATCTGTTAGAGTAACTATCTGTGATGCATACAGCAGCTGTTTGTAAGTACTACAATATCACTGGTCTGTATTAATTCTGCTCCTTTTTGATTTTAGTTGTGTGCCTGGTTGCTTACCACATATTTTTCATGCTGTTCGTCTGGTCATATTGGAAAACAATCTTTACGCTACCAATGAATCCTTCAAAAGAAGTAAGATAAATTTAACTTTTTTTAATGAAATAGCCTAGTCAATGCCTGATTTTGTAGTATTTGAATAACTTAGAC